GTTTTAAAAAAATTTATTTTAGTAGCAATTTATGTATAAAATGTGCTAAGAGATTTATGAAATAAGTTGCTACCATGTAATACTAAACTTGCTACTTCGAAAATAAAATAAAGTTTTTACATAGTATGCAAATCGATTGTTACCATAGGAATGTAATAAATTTGTTATATAGTATTTACATAAGGTACTAACCCCTAACGAGAGTAGCGGACCAAAACAAGACAAACTGTAACCTGGAAGGGCAAATTATTTAAATAAACATTGCATAAGCTGCTAATTAGGGGGCAAGTTATTATACAACACATTACAAGGAAAAGTTATTATACAACACATTACAAAAAGCCAGGAAACAAGACTTGCTGCCACTAAGAGCATTTATTAAAAAATAAGAGTAGCAGCACAAAACAAGACAAGCTGTAATCTGGGGACATATTACTAAAACAAGCATTGCATAAGCTGTCAACTAGAAGAGCAAGTTATTATATAACCCACTATATGAGCCGGGAAACATGACGAGCTGATAAATGGAGCGATATTTATTAAAAGACAAAAGTAGTGGCCTAAATTATTAGAAGAAGCATTACATAAGGTGCTAACTTATAGGGTAAGTTATTATACAACTAGTATGTAGGATTCAGTAATGCATTCAAACCTTGAATGAAAAATGAAATAATGAAACTCAAAACTCATTAAATTGAAACTAAAATAAACATTGAAAAAATATTTAAAAGAAGAAAATATTGAAGAACAGTTAACATGCAGGATTTAAATTGGCCTTCAAAACCTGAACAAAAAAGCTGAACCACTTTGAAAATAGCTAACAGACACTAAAACTGAAAATGACAACTAGAAAATAAAACTGAAAATGACAAATAGGAAATAAAAACTAAAGTAGGCATAGCGATAAAAAAAAAAAAAGACTTGCTTCCAACTAGTAGGCGGTTATTACAAAATCCAAGCAAACATGACTTGTTGCAAAATGAAACTGAAATTAACAAAAAAAAATAGAAGTGAAATTGGAAAAAACAAAAATAGAACTAAAATTGCAAATAGAAAATAAAAACTAAAGAAGACACAATAAAAAACTAAAACTAAAAGTATAATAAACTAGAATTGAAAATGACAACAAATAATGAAAACTGAAATTGACAAATAAGTTGCTACACGCTTAATACATAAGTTGCTACACGTTTGCTAGTATGTATAATTTGTTGGAAGGTAATATAGGTTGCTACACTCTTAATACATAAATAGCTATTACATATATAACATAAGTTGCCAGTACATACAAACTATTTTGAAACACATGCATCATAGTCTTATTTCATAGATCTCATCACAAGTCGCTAAATAGTACAAATCAGTGAAAAAAATGAAACTAAAATTACCGGTGACTAAAAAAGCAATTAATAACTAAAAAACAAAACAAATAATTAAGAAAAATAAAATAAGTTATTATACAACTAATATGTACGATTTAGGAATGCATTCAAACCTAAAAGGGTGATTGAGAACTGAAACTAAGAAATATTAAAAAGCCAACACTGAAAACTGAAACTAATAAAAGCTGGAAAAAAAACTTGACTGAAAACTAAAACTAGGAGGCAAATTCTTTTGTGGCAACTTATGTGTTCAATAGCTACCCTTATGTGTTCAATAGCTACCCTTTTGTAACAACTTATATATTGTAGGTGAGGCAATTAATACTGTGAGGAGACCTAAAAGGGTGACTAAAATTTGAAACTAAAAAATCATGACTAAAAGAAAAAACTGCAAAATAGCACTCAAAGTAAAATTACCGGGAAGAAATTGAAATTGACAAACAAAAAAAATGAAATTGCTCAAAACTCATAAAACTGAAACTAAAATAAGCACTAAAAAAAAAGAAATATTTAAAAGAAGGAAATATTGAAGAACAGTTAACATGCAGGATTTTAAATTGGCATTCAAACCTGAACAAAAAATTGAACAACTGAAAATAGCTACCAGACACTAAAACTGAAAATGACAACTAGAAAATAAAATTGAAAATGACAAATAGGAAATGATAACTAAAGTAGACACAACAAAAAAACATAAAAAAAGACTTGCTTCCAACTAGTAGGCGGTTATTACAAAATCCAGCAAACATGACTTTCGCAAAATGAAACTGAAATTAACAAAAAAATAGAACTGAAATTGACAAACAAAAAATAGAACTAAAAATAAAAATAGAAAATAAAAACTAAAGAAGACACAATAAAAAACTAAAAGCTGAAAGTACAATAAACTAGAATTGAAAGTGACAACAAATAATGAATCTTTGAAATTGACAAATAAGTTGCTATCACGCTTAATAGATAAGTTGCTACACGTTTGCTAGTATATATAATTTGTTGGAAGGTTAATATATATGTTGCTACATGCTTAATAGCTTTTACATATATAACATAAGTTGCCGATTACATATAAACTATTTTGAAAACACATGCATCGTAGTCTTATTTCATAGATCTCATCACAAGTGGCTAAATAGTTTCATAGATCTCATCACAAGTGGCTAAATAGTACAAAACAGTGAAAAAAGCTGAAACTGAAAATAACATCCAGAAAATTGAACTGAAATCGACAATTTTAGTTCCTTAGGACTAAAGTAGATAAAATGAAAAAATAAAGAAAGAAACATAATACTAAAACTGAAATTGACAACAAGATAATCAGACTGAAATTGACAAATAAAAGTTGAAAACTAATGTAGACACAATGAAAAGAAAAATCTTCATGTTAACTCAGGAAATATGGTACCGCTGATGTTACGATTCTTACATTGGCCATTGATATTCCATTTTCAACAATATTAGCAGATACATTCCATACCACGGAACATGTTGGAAACTCGGCAGCTTCTAGACCTTAATTATAAGTGTGCATCACCACAAGTTCCCAGACATGACAACAACGCCAAATTTGTGAGTTTCATGCAAGTTTCAATCAGAACCTTGTTGCACAAAACTTGACTAAAAGTTAAAATTTTGTAATCAAGCATCCACGTTTCACAAGTCCTGGCTGTACTGCTAGCTCCAACAAAGTTGATGTGACAATTTACAGACTGAGACAAGAAAATTGGCATGACAATCTATATACACACATCTCATGGCCATTTGTTGCATTCAGGCGCAATGTTCATGTGATGCCAGAACTGACCTGAAGACATTCACCCACAGCAGACAGACTGACAGTGAATAGATTTCTGATTTTAGAAGCTAGAAGGGCTCTTGCTGCATGAACGACTGAATAAAATCCAATGTACTAACAGGAAACACTAGGTCACTACCACATAGTCAGGTTCATGTCCAAGCAATCATCGCAAAAGATGCACGATGATGGATGATCAGATCTTGGGTCTGAACTGCATTTCAACTGCTGATGCCGGCGAGCGCGGTGCCGGATGAGAGCGTCGGGGGCGTTTCGTCAACCGCTGCTTGCTCGCTCATCTCGTCTTGGACACGGCTTGCGGGAGGTTCGATCGGAGCGCAGAGGTGTGTCGCGAACGAAGGAGGTGGAGGAGGACACGCCCGGATTGGGGATTGGTGCTTCGGCCTGGGGAGGCGATGGCCACTACTGGGCCGGCCCGTCGCGCGCTGGAGGCGGAGCGCGACCGGTCGCTTATTAAACTTTGCGTTTGGGATCATGGGATCGGTGGCCACTCACTGGCCAGTGATACTACCAGCCCATGGTACGGCGGCCCACTATTAGCGCCTACATATACTGGGCCTCCAAATCCCATGAAATTCCGCAGGTTACTGGGTCGGTCCTGGTGAACACACAGAATTCTGCCAGTGATACGACCAGCCCATCGTTTTGTGGAATTAAAAGAAAAAAAAAAGACACGGCGGCCCATTATTAGCGTCTACATGTTACTGGGCCTCATACTCCCATGAAATTCCTCAAGCTACTGGATCAGTCCTGCTGGTGAACACACATAATTCTGCCTTAGAAATAGATGCTCCCCACCTCCGGAAAAGAAAAAAAAAACGAAAAAAACTGACGAATGAATTCCTCCCACTGAAAAAAAATGAACACGGATGATTTTGTGCGCAATTCCAATTAATACAGGAACCTCAGACCCAGCCTGAACGGATGAAACAAGGGTATATCAACTCAACAGTATCCGACTGCAACGAGTTGATGGACCGCTCAGCATTTGTCATCAGTTCTGAGTACAGCCAAAAGACACAGGAACAAAGCACGGATAACATTGGTCCCAGCACCGGTCATACATCCATTTCAGATAAAAATTTCTCAATAAGGAGAGAAGAATGGTTTATCACTTAACATATAGGCTCTGCCAAAATTCAGGACGGAGAATTCAGTCAGGGCTTCAGCTTCACCCATGAGTCCCGTGACCCGCCAGCCCTTTTACCAAACAGCAGCCCTTCATTCCATTGGTTGCTGTAGAGTTCTCTCTCACTTCTGGAAGACGAAATAGATGGATCAGTACACACAAATACAATTGTTATAATCCATCCAAGAGACAACATCATATAAAATTGTCTCTGTATGTGAATTGTGATAAGTAGCATTTAGGCTATCAGTCCATTCAGACATGATTACATTTACAACTAGCTATCCTCCAAAATACGCCTTGTATGCCCTGTACTAAGACTAACTAGTATGCTGGAAGAAAGTCCAAAGGAACATAAATTATGAACCCATTGCGTCCAAGAAACTGAATAATTAGCAGACAACGGCGGTGGCAATATCTATGGTCCATCTCAATCTCACCAGGGATCCCGAATTCAAGGAGGCGAAAAAAAAACGTCACTGTTGGAGAAACAAATTCAGGGCCGGCAACAAATGATCGACAAAGATCGGGGACCCCAGATCCACGACCACAATCTGTATATCAGCGTCATGTCATGGTTCATGGACCACAGAAAAAAAGGGCCGGTATTCAATCCATTTTTTTTCTGCATCCTGAGGTTGTCTGGGATCAATTGGTGTCACTCACTCACAGTCAGTTACAGGCTACCTGCTGCAAATACTTTACAAGGTAGAGCTCCCAAGCTGAAGCTTAAACTATTTGCAGGAATCATGTTGCTTTCAGGCCAGATGAAAATGAGATGTTGCTGGAGTGAGTGGCAATAGACCATGAACAATGCGGTCGCGGCCAAAGCCGTCGCTGTTAGACTAAGAAGGTTGACAATAGAATATGACCATGATCTTATCTTGTATCCTACTTCAAAAGCATTTCCATTATCACTGAACAATAATTATTAGTTATCATGGAACAAGTCCAAGGCACCTAAACCACTAGTCATAAGAAAGCCACTAACAATGATGATCTCAAATGCTGACTATATAAAAACTTGCAAAATTCACCCAGCTTGAATGAAATCTGAATGAGCAACGAACTGAAACCGCGCAATCAAAACAAAAGGATACTGAATATTTAGCAGTCTCAGTAAACCAATCACACAAACAAGTAGGAAGCTTGATGTGCAGATTGCAGATGATCAGAAACGAGAGAGATGTTCACCTTTTCAGCAAGAGAGCAGCATCCTTGTTGCACACAAAGCAAGAGCTTGAGAGGAAGCAGCAGGCGTCGGCGCCGCCACCACCGGCGCCGGCGTCGGCGCGGCTCTCGACGACGCGGTCCTCGAAGATGTGCGTCATCTTGGGGTTGGGCCCGCGGGCGATGACGCAGGTGTAGTCCTCCCTGGCGAGCTCCTCCACCTCGCTCCTCCGCGCCAGCCTCGCCGCCGACGACGACAGCGGCGACCGCTGTACGGGCGAGAGCAGCGCGAGCTGGGCGTCCCTGTTCTTGACGCCGAACTCGATCGGCGAGCCCGGGAGGTCCCCTCCGCCGCCGCCGCTGGGTCCCTTACCGGACGGCGGCGGTGGCAGCTGCACCCTGAGCCGCATCCCGAGGAGCACCCTGCGGCTGTTCTTGCAGGACCCCCGGTCGGCCTCCTCCTCGGCCACCAGCACGCCCGCCAGTCCCGCGGCGGCCGCGCTGCCCCGATGCCACCGGACCGGGCGCTGCCGTTTCTTCCGCCGGAGGAGCAGGGAGCGTTCCTGGACAGCTCGGCCACGGAAGCGGCGCTCATGGCGGAGTCCGTGAAGAGGCTCGGGAACGACCTCGTGGAAAGAAGCCGAGACGCCGCCCTCCCGGTGCCGGTGCCGCCCTCGGTGACCTTGGGTGTGGGACGCGATGGTGCTGGGGGATCACCACCGCAGCCCATTGCGGCCGCAGCCCTTCCTGATGCTTTCTTCAGCATTGCTGCAGTCAAGAAATACAACCCGATCCTCTGTTCCAACTTCAGCCGAACCTAATCCAATCTATGCAGAGTAGCAAGATATACTGACTGATTGTTATTGAAATCGATCCTAGGGAGCGAGTGAGGTGGACAAGAATCAGAGTCAGAGAGCAAGTACGCAGCTTGTGCTGCTCCGTCGAGTGATCTGAGATGGGATGATGAAACCGTCAGTTGGTCACGCAAGAGGCGACGAACAGGGAGAGGGGAGAAGAAAGAGGCCAAACAAATGATCAGAAACACACTCACTCACACTCAGGCGTCAGCTAGTAAATCATAGAGCAGCCATCCTTGGCCTGCTGCATCGAAATCAGGGGACGGAAGGAATCCAGTGGGTGGTTTGAGAAGATTGATCCCCCAACTGATCACACCAGAAAACGATGGATTAGGAGAAGCCAACACGCAACAGGCCTGACTGATTGGAAAATGTTGCTCTTTCCTATCTCAGGAGCAAACAGGTAGCGGCTGCTGAGTTCAGTCAAGTGTGGGTCTCTCTCACGCACACAGAGAGAAACACACACTCTGGTGTGTAGTGTAGTTGACGGCCATGACAATGGTGTGCCTATAGAAGAAGCGTACGGGGGCCTTATTTAGAGAATTAGAGGCGCCCTTCTCAAAACTAGGCCATCCACACATTGGACCTATTCGCTCGAAAAAATTCTGGAGAAATTTGGATAGGTTAGAGGGATGCTGAAAAAATTTATGAGAGAAAAATACTGTTTTAAATAAAAAAAAAGTGGATCAAGCCAGATTTAAAGGCACGTGATATTTATTTGCATCCATGCCCAGAGACAATAATTACAAAGTTTTCATGGACTGTGGTGGTCACCGGTCACTTCCTCCATTCGCCTACTGCTAGGGGCAAGGGTGGATATTCCCGTGCTACTGTCCATGTGAGCTACACTAGCATATTACTCGTATTGAAATGCGGTTATCAAAGTACCACTAGATGCTCTAACTCATTACATATGCATTTAGGATCTAGTGGAAAGCTAACACCTTAGGAAATGTTTGTGAAAATATGCTAACACACGTGCACATGGTGATATACTTGATGGTTGGCACATTTGATCAAGGGTGGTGAAGTTTAGGGTCAAAAAGAGCTATTTTGTATTGACCGAACTCTGCCTTGGGCAGTGACCCGATTCTGACCCTGTGTCTGGTCAGTGGCGCGCATGAAGGCCGCCCTCGGTCCCTTGACCGGACGCTGAAGTGAAAAAGGGACCGGACACGCAGGGGGTGCGTCCGGTCACCTTGTGACGTACACTGACGCAAGCAACAGAGAGAGACTGTGTTGACCGGACGCTAGCCTGGGTCCGGTCATGTGCCATCGGACGTGTCCGGTCGCGCAAAACCGTCTCTAGAACCTTACTGGAAACGACCGGACGCCAGTGATGGTGCGTCTGGTCACTTCGAGCAGCGCGTCCGGTCACAACTTAAGTGCATTGATGACCGTTGAGATCGAACGATCATCATTTGAAGTCAGGGACACGTGATGAATATCTAAGGACCGGACGCTGGGGTCCTGCGTCCGGTCGCCCCGATTTTTCAGGGGGCAGATTAGTTAACGGCTCTATTTGTGGGGGCTCTCTATTTAAGCCCCATGGCCAGCTCAAGCTCACTCCTCTTATCCATTTGTATTGACATAGCAATTTTGTGAGCTTAGCCAAAGCCCTCCCACTCATCTTCATCACTGATTCATCATCCTTGTGAGATTGAGAGAGAATCCAAGTACATTGCTTGAGTGATTGCATCTAGAGGCACTTGGTGTTCGTGTTTCGCTGCCGGATTTGCTTGTTACTCTTGGGGGTTGCCGCCACCTAGACGGCTTGGAGCAGCGGAGGAGGGTTGGCGCAAGTCGGTGATTGTTCGTGGTCATCTCCCGGTGATTGTGAGGGGTCTTGTGCCTTCCCCGGTGGAGCGCCGAAAGGTAACTCTAGTGGATTGCTCATGTCATTGAGTTACTTCACTTGTGGGTAGGTTCTTGTGGTGTGCAATTGTGTGGACGAGGTTCGTGCAACACCTCTTAGCCGCCGAACCACCAAGTGTTGGTCGACACAACGGGGACTAGCGTGCCGACAGGCACATGAACCTCGAGAGAAAAATATTGGTTGTCTCTTGCCCTTTGGTATTCTCCTGGTGATTGAATTGGTATTCATCTTGTGATTAGTTCACTCCTCCACACGGTGGTATAATCACCCTACTCACTCATTTTCATTCTTGCAAACTAGTTGTAGCAAGCTCTTTAGTATAGCTAGAATTGAGAGCTTGCTTTGTAGTTTAAGTTCATCTAGTGGAGCTCTTTAGTGTAGCAAGTATGAGAGCTCTTAGTGAGTAGTGACTTAGCAAATTGTCTGTCTAGTGATCATAGTAACTAGAATTATTGGATAGGTGGCTTGCAACCCTTGTAGAGCTAGAGCAAGTTTGCATTTCGCTATTTGTCATACTAATCAAATTGCTCTAGTCAGTTTGTAGATTTTTTAAATAGACTATTCACCCCCCCTCTAGCCATATTAGGACCTTACAAGTGGTATCAGAGCCATGGTCACTGTTTCATTGAAGGCTTAACAACCTCGGTGTCAAATTATGGTTGAAGTTGTGTTCAACCATGTGGGGGGCAAACCACCATTCTTTGATCGCACATGTTATGATTATTGAAAGAGAAAGGTGAAGATGTATCTTGGTTCAATCAATGATCAAGTGTGGGATATGACCGAGAGTGACTATGATATCATTGATCCCGACAATCTCACCAAGCAAGACAAGGCCAACAAGCAATCAATACAATGGCTCTCAACACCATATACAATGCTATTGATTCCAAGATGTTTGAGCAAATCAAGAATTGTGATAGAGCTAATGAGGTGTGGAAGAGATTGGAGAAAACATATGAGGGCACACCAACGGTGAAGAGTGCCAAGTTATATATCCTCAAAGACAAGTTGACAAGCTTCAAGATGAAAGATGATGAGAGCATTCCGGAGATATTCCATCGGTTGCAAGTGATTGTTGGTTGCAAGTGATTGTCAGTTGCAAGTGATTGTCAATGACTTAAAGGCTTTGGGAGAAAAGATCAATGATGATGATGTCTCTTATCGGTTCTTGATGTACTTACCTCTAAGATTTGAGATATTGAGATTGCTTATCATAAGAGGTGGATTGAAGGAGATTACCCTTAACCAAGTACTAGGTGATGTCATGACACAAGAGACATACTATGTGGAAAGGGAGGGGGTTGACAAGGATGATAAGAAGGAAGACGAAGACAAGAAGAAGAAGAGTGTAGCATTCAAGGCTAGCTCATCATTCAAGAATAAGGGCAAGTCCAAGAAAGAATCAAGTGATGATGAGAATCTTAGTGACATTGATGATGAGGCCATGGCTCTATTTGTACGCAAGATGGGCAAATTCATGAAGAAGAAGGGCTATGGTGCAAGAAAGAGAAGATATCACACTAAAAGCAAAGAATATGTGAGAGGATGCTACAATTGCAAGAGCCCCGATCATATTGTAGTGGATTGTTCCTACAATAGTGACAATGATGAGGATGAGAAGAAGAAGCATAAGAAGAAGAAGGAGAAGAAGACCTTTCAAAAGAAGAAGAAGGGTGGAGGCTATGTGGTCACTTGGGATAGTGATGGCTCCTCGGATAGTGATGGCTCTAGTGATGATGGCAAGAAATCTATCAAGAAAGCACTAGCAAGCATTGCCATCAACAACAAGCCCTCCATCTTTGACACTCCATCAACATGCCTCATGGCAAAGCCTACCAAGGTAAAATATGATGTGAGTGATGATGATGAATGTGAAAGTGATGCTTGTAGGAGTGATGATGATGAGTACACCAAGGAGGAGCTCATGGACATGTGTGAGCAAGTACACACTTGCTTTGAGATAAAGAGAAAGGAGTGCAAAGAATTATACAAGAAAGTCAAATTTCTTGAGCAATCATTTGATGAGCTAAATGCCACTCATGAGAGGCTAATAGAAGCCCATGAGAAGCTTGGCAAAACTCACTCCAGGCTTAAAAAGGCTCACTCCTCTCTCATCAAGCAAGTCAAGATGGAGGAAGTCAAGAAGAAGCAAGTAATTGTGTCATATGATGTGGGACTAACATGTGATATTATTGATGAATCTTTTTATAAGTCTATTGTTATTGCTTCCACTCACCCTTCTTGTAGCACTACTACTTCTACTTCACCTTTGAGTAATGGCTTCACTTGTGATGCCTCATTAATGATGAAAAATGAGACCCTCAAGAAGGAGGTGAATGAGCTCACTCGTATCTTAGGTAATACCTATGGTGGAGATGCTCGCTTGCTAAAGTGCTTGGGTAGCCAAAGATTTTCTCTCAATAAAGAGATACTAGGCTATACCCCAAAGAAAGGCAAGACGACCTTTTTTCACTCCCAAAGCTAGCTTTTGTGAAGGGCAATGGTCGGTTTTACAATAGATGCAAGCAAGTTGGGCATATAGAGCAATATTGCAAGACTAACAAGAACAAGCAACCTAATGTATCCTCAATTAGATTTGATTCTTGTTACATGCTTGTTAAGGGTGCCAATGGTGTGAAGGCTAAGTTCATTGGTACACCAATTGTGGGCCCAAAGGAGAAGGCCATTTGGTGCCAAAGACCTTGGTAACTAACCTTCAAGGACCCAAGCAAATTTGGATACCTAAAAAAAATTGATCTTCTTTTATAGATCAATTATAAAGCAGGAGAAAGGCATTGGGTGCTTGATAGTGGGTGCACACAACACATGACCGGTGATCCAAGAATGTTCAATTCAATCAATGAAAATAAGAGCAATGGGATTAATAGTATCACATTTGGTGACAATGGCAAAGACAAGGTCAAAGGTCTTGGTAAGATTGCAATATCCAATGACTTGAGCATTTCTAATGTGCTATTAGTAGAGAGCTTGAAT